GGCTGCGATGATGGGCTCAAGTATAGCAGGGATTGTGGGGCTGGCGCGGGATCGGGCAGTGTTTCGTTCTGCTGTGCATGGGGTCGCTATGATCAGAAACGACTCGACGGCACTTAACAACAACAACAACAACCTACTTCTTTGTCTTTTTCCCCTCCGACAGGCACACATCTGTTCCCATCCTATGGTTTTGTCTTTGCTGTTGTTGTTGCTAGGTGCTGTTGAGTCTTTTCATCTCCCAGTGACCCCTCGCACCTCAGAATGAAACCCTGCACCGTCCCATGCCATTCGCACAGTTGTTGCTCCATGTGAGCTCATGTTGTTGTTAGGTGCCGTCGAGTGATTTCCGACTCCCAACCACCCCACGCACCGCAGAATGAGACCCTGTACCGTCCCATGCCATCTGCAGTTGTTGCTCCGTGTGAGCTCATGTTGTTGTTAGGTGCTGTCGTGTCCTTTCCGACTCCCAGCGACCCCACGCCCCGCAGAATGAGACACTGCACCGTCCCATGCCATCCACACAGTTGTTGCTCCATGTGAGCTCATGCTGCAGCCACTGTGTCTTTTCTAGAATGGTGTGTTAATGGAATCATACATACTTTTTTTAAATTGTGACTTGGGTGTAAATTCACAGAGCAATTTCATTTTCCATAAGCAGTTCATACACATTTTGTTTCATGACGTTGATTGCAATCCCCATTAGGTAACCATCCTTGTTCAACTTCCTCCTTGGGGCTACCTTTTCCCTGGGTCCTTTCTTTCCTATGTGTTCCTACCCTCTGAGCTATCTCCCTGTGGAAATACCGCCTTTCTGTTCTCCCATGACTGCTAACCAGAAGGCTGGCAGTTCAAACCCACCAGCCACTCCTCGGAAGGACGACTGGGCAGTCTACTTCTGTAGTGATACCGCCTCAGAAACCGAAGGGGTGGGGTCTCTATGAGTCATAACGGGCTTGAGGGCAGTGAGGTGAGCTGAGCAAGGAGTGTACCTACCTGGTGTAAATGTTCACCTCATATGTCTATCTGTTGTTTGGTTAGGAGCTCTGGTGGCGTAGTGCCTAAGGCATTTTGATTGCTAACCAGAAGGCTGGTAGTTCAAAGCCACTCAGCCACTTCTCGGAAGGAAGGTTGGGCAATCTACTTCCATAGTGACACTGCCTTGGAAACCCAAGGAAGGGTCGCTGTGAGTTGGATCCAACTCAATGGCTGTGAGATTACTTGGCTGAAAGCCATGGGAATGAGCTCAGTTCCCAGCCTGAAGGGTGACTAGGGGCCATAGTCATAGGGGTTTTGCTAGTTTCTATCAGAGCAGTAAGCTTGGTCTTTTTTATGATTTTGAATTGTGTTCCACATTTTCTCCCACTCTATCCAGGATCTCCTGCGCTGATCCCTTGCTGAGTGGTTGACAGTGGTAACCGGGCACCATCTAGTTCTTCTGGTCTCTGTACATACCTTTTGAGATTGACTTCCTTCACCATCTTTCTCTTCCCTTCTTCAGAGCGCTCCCTCCCTCAACACATCTGCGATGAGCAGTGACCCCCTTTCAGATGCCCGTGCACTGGAAGCTCCCTAGGTCTCAGGAGAGCCATCCATTTGTGATTTTAAAGAGCTGTCCCAAGTCATGGAGCGAGGCGAGTCGCCTGCTCTTTGTGGTCAGTTCTTAGCTGTGTGGGTCTCTGTCTAGTGTGTGTGTGTAGGAGGTGCTGCTGTGAGCGCTGGAGGCGGTGGGCAACATCCTGCCCAGGCAGTGGTCTCACCCTGCTCTGCTCAGTGGACCTCACTGACGTGTGGTGAAGTGTTGGCTTTTGTGGGACAGAGGTTCCAGGATTCTCACCCAGCCTCCATGTTAATTAAACAGTGTGCTAGGATTCCTTCCACGTTTTTCCTTTTCTTCTTTACTGCAAAGATCATAACTTCTCTGTACCATAGAGAAGTAGATTGCCCAACCTTCCTTCCGAGGAGTGGCTTCTTATTTTTGAAGATTTTTATGTTTATGAAGTAGAATACTATCTCTTTTAATTAGTCTTATGTATGTGACTAGGAGCTCTGGTGGCATAGTGCCTAAGGTATTTGACTGCTAACCAGAGGGCTGGTGGTTCAAACCCACCAGCCACTCCTTGGAAGGAAGACTGGGCAATCTACTTCCCTAGTGATACTGCTTCGGAAACCCAAGGAGAGGTCGCTAGGAGTTGGAATCTACTTGGCGGCAGTGAGTTTGGTTTTGATAAATGTGACTAAAGAGCTCTAGTGACACAACAACTCTGCTTGGCTGCTAAGTAAAAGGTAGGTGGTTTGAACCTACCCAGTGGCCCTGCAGGAGAAAAGGCCTGGTACAGATGAAAAAAAGCCCCCCGAAACCCATTGCTACCAACTTGATTACGACTCACAGCGCTCCTAGGGGACAGAGAGGAACTGCCCCAGAGCGTTCCCAAGGCTGTCAATCTTTACAGAAGCAAAGCCCAAACCACACCCGCTGCCATGGAGTCGATTCTGACTCACAGCGCCCCTAGAGGACAGAGTGGAACTGCCCCACAGGGTTTCCAAGGCTGTCAGTCTTTACAGAAGCAAAGCCCAAACCACACCCACTGCTGTGTAGTCAATTCTGACTCACAGCGCCCCTAGAGGACAGAGTGGAACTGCACCAGAGGGTTTCCAAGGCTGTCAGTCTTTACAGAAGCAAAGCCCAAACCACACCCACTGCCATGGAGTCGATTCTGACTCACAGTGCCCCTAGCAGACAGAGTGGAACTGCCCCAGAGGGTTTCCAAGGCTGTCAATCTTTACAGAAGCAAAGCCCAAACCACACCCACTGCCGTGGAGTCGATTCTGACTCACAGCGCCCCTGGAAGACAGAGTGGAACTGCACCACAGGGTTTCCAAGGCTGTCAGTCTTTAGGGAAACTGCAGAATCTTTCTTTTGCAGAGCAGCTGGTGTGTTCAAATCCTTGACCTTTTGGTTAGTGTCTGAGTGCTGAACAACTGCATCACTAGGGCTCCTCCATAAAGATCACAGTGTAGGAAACCCTGTGGGGTAGGGAGGGACTTTTGTAAAAGTGGTAAGTTTTTTTTTACAGCAATATGTAAAAAACAAGTGGCATAGTGGCACTTAGGAAAATACCTCCAGGGTGGAAAGAGAAGCAGTTGGCAAACTGCTGTTGAAGGGCCACCCCCCCCCCACTTTGTTTTTGTGTAAAAATGTGGTCCTAGGGTTTTGAATTTTAGTATTGATTGTAAATTCTGCAACATGTGGTGAGTAATTGCAAAGACCCAGTAAACTTTCCACAGCTGATCTTCAGGTGCTTTAGTGCCATCGTCATCTTATTCTTGCTGGTCACAAGCATTGCAGTGGACCACGGATTTCAGCAGTTTTGCATTTAAAACAATCTGCCAATAAAATTAAGAAATTTTACTGTGTGGTGAATTTACTTTGTGTTATGGTCACACATGCCGGTTTCTAGGAGAATGAAGGAAATGCAATTTTGTAGCTTCTTGCATTTTGTTTTTGTACTGTATTGCCATATCGTGAAAACTAAACCTAGTTTGTATGACTTCATTATTTTTTTTCCCAAGGAGTCCTAGCTCAGTGTTTTCTGGTGTTCAGTATTGCAGGAGTGTGGTGGTGATGGTAGTGTGGGGTGCCATCACCTAGCAGTGGGCTAGGTGTTCTGTTCTGTTGTTTGTTGTCGAGTTGGCCCTGACTCATAGCGACCCCTCCTTGGGTTTCCGAGGCAGTATCACTACGGAAGTAGATTGCCCAACCTTCCTTCTGAGGAGTGGCTAGTGGGTTTGAACCGCCAGCCTTCTG